GCAGGCATTTTTCCTGGGGAAATTGTAGATACGCATCTGTCCTTTTCTTTTTGTCTCTTCAGCCAAAGGAAAGAACTTTGCCGATTTCCTGATATTTTGAGGCTAAAGTAGGGGTATAAGACTTTAATTTTGCTCCTAGTTTTTTGTAGTAATTAATTATATTATGTTGGTCCATTCTATCATTCATTCATGAAATACTTCCTGATACACACACACATACAAAGCTGTGAAAACTAATGAACAAGTTTGACAAAATCAAAATATATAAGACCAATATGGAAAAATCAGTTTCTGTATAGTAGCAAATGAACAATCTGAAAATAAAATTAAGAAAATAATTTTATTCACGATAGCATGAATAAGAATAAAATACTTAGATATAAATTTAACAGATAATTTAACAGATAATAAAACCAGTACACTGAAAGTTATAAAACATTGCTAAGGGAAATTAAAGAATACCTAATAAATGATAAGGCATCAGGTTCATGGATTGAAAAAGTCAGTATTATTAAAATGGTAATTTCCTTCAAATTAACCTATAGATTCAACTCAAGTCTATCAAAATCCCAGCAGACTTTTTTGTAGAAATTGACAAATTGATTCTAAATTTAAATGGTAATGCAAAAGACTCACATTAGGCAAAATCATTAAATTTCCCAATTGAAAGACTTACTCTATAGCGATAATTATCAAGACACTGTGGTACTGTCATAATAATAGACATATGGATGAATTAACCAGAATTGATAGTCCAGAAATAAACATTTGTGGGCAATTGATTTTTGACAAAGGTGCTTCAATGGGAAAGGATAGTCTTTTCAACAAATGATTTTGGGATATCCACATGAAAAAGATGAACTTAGTCCCCTACCTCACACTGTACGTGAAAAAATAAATTGAATAATTCATAGACCTAAATGTAAGAGTTAAAACTGTAAAAATTTTAGAAGAAAAATAGAAAATTTTCTAGACCTTGGATTAGGCAAGGATTTTTTAGCTATGACATCAAAAGCATAATCCTTAAAAGGAAAAACTGATAAATTAGACTTCCTCAAAATTAAAAACTTTTGTATTTCAAAAGACACTATTAAGCAAATGAAAGACAAGCCACCGATTGGGGAAAAATATTTGTTAATCACATATCTAATAAAGGACTAGTATCCAGACTATACGAAGAACTCTTAGAATTCAATAATGAGAAGACAACCCAAGTTAAAAAGATTTGAATAACCATATCATCACAGAAGATATACTAATAGCTAAAAAGCACATGAAAGAATGTTTGATTTCATTAGTCCTTAGGGAAAATGCATATCAAAACCATAATGGGATACCACTTTGCAGACAGAATATAACAAGTAATAGCAAGGATGTCAAGAAATGGGAACATTCACACATCATTGGTAGGAGTGTAAAATTATACAGCCACTTTAGAAAACAGTTTGCCATCTTGTTAAAAGGTGAAACATAGATTTAACATACGGCCCAGCAATTCCACTCCTAGGTATTTACCAAAGAGAAATGAAAACATGTCCACCCAAAGACACATGAATGCTCATAGCAGCATTATCATAATGGCTAAAAATTGGGAAAATCACACATATCCATCAACTGATGAATGGAGAAGTAAAACA